ATTCCCGACTGCGCCGCTTCCTGATTTCTATCTCTCTGTATCGTGCAAACTTGATACTGCAACCAATTAGAGCGCTATACATTAAGCAGTGTCACCATTGTTGGGGATGATTTGGCAACAGGCACTGGCCAAGATTCATGTATCCACACAAAGCAGGTCTGCCCGCTGGGTACCACTCATCATTTTCCACCAGCAGTAACATAAATATATGTTGCATGGTGTTAACAGTCTGAGCAACTTGTGTGCCAGAGGTGCTAAAAATGTCAGTGTAACACTCCAAAGGTACAAGTCATGTGTTTTTGTTGCTTTAGTGTGTCCTTTGATAACATTACACTCTTATAGCAAGTTAATATTAGCTTGTAAGCACTGATTGAGGTAGCAATAAATCGCCTTACATTTGTTTGGCTGTGTTTTTCACTCACAATTCATAAAGCAGTACAAACTTTACAGCTGCCCCTGATCAGCTGTGTTATTTAAGATGCACTCTGGCACTCACTACAAACACCTTTTCAATTCAATTCAATGTAATTTTATTTATACAATGCCAAATTACAGCAACAGTTGCCTCAAGGTGCATTATACTGTAAAGTAAAAACCTTACAACAATCAGAAAATCCCCTATGAGCAAGCCCTTGCAAACAGTGGGAAGGAAAAACTCCCTTTTAACAGGAAGAAACCTCTGGCAGAACCTGGCTTAGGACCATTTGTAGGCAAGGAGAGAGAGAGACACTTTACCATCTAACTGTACTTTTGAGAGTATGCACAAAGCTATAGCTCAATAAAGGGATCTTTACTGCAGTCAGCTTCTTGATATCTATGCTTTAAAAACTCCCCATTCTTGTTATTAAAGACATGTCTAAAACTGTGCACATGCCTTCTGTTTTGAACCATGTCTGTTATTGATTTGGGGGAAATGGGAATAGTTAAAGGCCTCATTAAGACATGGCTCTAGTGAGCCACGTGAAATATTCACCTGGCGACATTTTCTTTCTTACATTTTCTGTACATGTAATTCCTATGAAGCAAAAGAAAAACTTGAGATTTTCTAAATGCTTAGTTTTACACAGTTTTTTCTACTCTTGTGATGTCAGTGGGGGCAAATATTGCTATGATGGTCATCTCAAGCACACAGTTCTGGATATGGAATAGAAACCACCTTTCTTTTTGTGAGGAAAAGTCATAGTCAGATGGTTACTATTGAGACAGAACAAAAAAAATGGTTTTATAGACCAGAAAATAGTTAAAGTAAAGCAAGTAAGATGTAAGAATTTGTACATTAAGTGGACTGGTACTTATAGAAATGTTTGTTCTACTGTAGTTGAGCATTTAAACCACTTTTTTACTACAAGCCGCATTCATACAGTACTTTGGTCTATGCCTTTAAGTATTTTCTGATTATCACACTCAGGCACAATTTGGGGTTTGGGATCTCACTCAAGGACACTGAAGTTCAAATCGCTGCCCTTCCAATTGGTAGACAACCTGCTCTACCTTCTGAGCCACAGCTGTCACATAGGGAAATGTTGGATGTTGTGTATGATAACACCACTGATGCATCAATTGGATTTGAGGCCGGAGTACCCCACTCTAAAGATGTGTTAGTTGTTAGTTTATGCCAGATGTTACAGGAGCCAAACTTTACAAAAAGTTCCAAAAACCTTTATTTGGAACTAGTATTTGGGAATCAAGGTGTGTTTTTTTTTTTTTTTTTAGCAAATAGGAGACAAGCTTTTGTGCTCTTTTTGGTCAGCAGTGGTTTTTACTCTCCCAGGGGTGCCGTTTTTGCCCAGTCTCTTTCTTGTGGCTTTTTTTTTTTTCAGATAGGTTCCAGGGCCCGTATCCCTAAAGAATCTTTGTGCAAAAAGTGGCTTCTAGCGGCCAAATTCTAAGAAAATTCTCAGAGTCATGACGTTTTCTTAGAATTTCCCCTAAAAGTGACATGACAATCCCAGTTAATATAAAAGCTATTCCTCAAGATTCCTAGCGCTTAAAAGGGCTCCTAAGGCGAGATCTGCTAAGAGCAGGGAAGAGAACTTTTAGTGGCTTAGGAGTTCCCCTAAGCAGCTGCACAAAATGGCCAACAGAAGAGGCAGGAGAGATGTCCTGCAAACACTGGATGACAGGGAATTATTGAGATGCTACAGATTGGATCGTGCAGGAATCATGTTTGTGGTGGATCTCCTTAGAGATGCAATTACTTCACCAACTCGACGCCACAACGCTATTACACCGGAGACGAAAGTAATCACAACCCCGAGGTATTTGGCAACCGGGAAAATGCAACAATGCAGCAGTGATGACTTGGGTCTGCAATCACAGACATTGCTAAAAGCTGAGCCGTGTTACCCTCGTTAAGACCACACTGGACTTGTAACGTTGTGATTTCTACTTCATTAAGGACAGCCTCTTGAGATAGGCCATCTTGTTTTCAACGGGGTCCATATGGGAGTGAAAGTACAAAATATGCCAGCTAGGATATTAATATGAGCAAATAAGACACGAATCATTATTTGAACAGGGTGTAATGAGTTTAAGTTTTCACATATTTTAGATTCTAATGGCTATAACCCCTACAGCTTACTATTCATTTTCCAGATATTTTCTTGAATGTGAAATATTATTTACAATTACAGTCAGCATAAGATTAGAGTATATAATATGTTTATTGATTTGAGGGTACATCCTTTGCTCATTATCACCAAAAGCTCATTTCCATCAAACTTGTAGGATCAACCAATCACGGCTTTTGAAATGATGACTCATACCTAGCAACGGGGTCAACCACACCTCCTCACTAAGATAGGATTTTCCATCCATTCCTTGCTCAGAGTTCACTGAAAATGTTCTGGAATCACTTCTAAGCTAAAACTCCTGGCAAGGAATTTTTAGGTTAAGTTAGGAGCTCTCTGAGAGGATTCTCAGAATCTTTAGGGATACGGGCCCTGGTGTGTTTGGATAGCTTTTTTCTCTCAAAAAATAAAATAATCATTTAAAAACTGTTTTTTGTGTTTAGCTGTGTTATCTTTGTCTAATATTACAATACGTTTAATGATCTGAAACCTACACAGGTGACAAAAGATAACAAAACAATAAAAAAAAAATAAGATTAGCAAAGGGGCAAGTACTTTTCACAGTACTGTATACAAATTAAAAAACAAAGCTGAGGCAGTGTTATCATGCAGAGCTCAGTCTGGCATGTCCAAAAATCATCTGATGGAAATGTGAACAGTAAGAATCAGCAAGGAAACATGGTGATGTGGAAATCAGTCTTCTTAACCGTGCTGACGGTCATCACTCACCCTGAGTCGAATGTAAATTGACCTGTTGACTATTTTCCTCCCAGTGGGAGTACAATGCTTCAGTATATAGTAAATCAGGAATTTAACTATTTATAATGTAGTTTTTTTTTCTGCTTTTGCAATTTGTTCATGTAACACTGCTAGCATGCGGCCAGTACCGAATGAATTTGATTGATGACTTCAGGCAGCAGGCGCTAGCAGGGAAGAGGAAAAAAACAAACTGCTGTTAAAAGAAAATTGTTTTTTTCCTTTTTTCTCCGATTACTTCACATTTAGTGGGGATAAAGTGAGTTAAATTATAGGGCTTGGTAATAGTTATGGACAGACATTTGGCACCTTCCTTCCTGTGCCATGCTGATAAAGAAAAGCAGAGAAAAATGCCATCCGCTCTCTCTGTTATGATTAGTTTGTTTGATCTCTAGTGGGTAAAAGTGGGAAAGAAGCTGACTGAGCAGATCCTTTGATGATTCGGCCAAATCGGCTAAGAGAATATAAACGAAGTGGCTAAAGCTATGATTCCAGTATGTATGCAAAGTATAATCTGCCTGATGCCAGCAACTTGTCAATTCAGTTGCTGCCACTAAAATAACTAAATGCTGTAATTTGACGGAGTGACTGCACTTGGGAGTTAAAATAAAGATTTGTAAACATCATAAATGTCACATTAGATATTTTCCAGAATCCACAATAATGTGCGGGGGAAAAAATCGAGCGTGCATGTACACCATATCCCCCACACGGTAAACATTCCCATGTGTAGATGTGCAAAATAGTGCATTTTGTGTTGTAATACATGTGCTTCATTTGGTATCAAGGACCGGATAAAAGAACACGATTGTTCTTCGGGGGGGGGGAAAAGGTTAATCTTGAACATAATCCATTCATTATAATTAATTTGTACTCGTGCTTCTACTAACAGGTGTCAGGCACGAAGAAAGGCTACAAATTTATAATTTAGACAAGCAAAGTAGTAGAGTTTGCACAGTGCATTTTGATTAGAAGCAAAATATGCCCTTTGTCATATATCTTAAAAATAATTAGAGAGCAAAATAATATTGTTTTTGTATGCAGATAGTCCTGTTATAAAAGTCAAAGAAAAAGGAATATTACACCATCCCACGAGAGGAGTGTGATAGTCTAAAATAAAGAGAATCAGAAATATAAAGATTAATGTGTGAGGGGGGGAAAAAACTTGGATATTCACTGAATAAGAATGGAAGACCTGTAAATACTAGCATACTTTGAAATCAGATTTATCAACAAGATAATCCCTGTGATTTTAGATCAAGTTTACCTCATTATCATTACCGTTGAGAGTTCAGACAGAGAACTGCCTTTAATTGCACTTTCAGAGAAATAAATATAATAAATGAATGAGGTGGTGGCATTTGTGTATTGGGAACTTCACTGGTTTCATTATCCAAACTGTTGCGCCTTCTCACAAACATTGTCATATTTAGATCTGTGGTGTGATGAGGTCCATCCTTGCAAAGTGAAACACGAACAAAAACGTCTGAAGTTGGTAAATTCAGTCAAACACACCCCGTCCCTAACTGGTTTTATGACTTAATGATCTCAGTTTCTTTCTCTTCCATTGATCTTTTATTGACCCTTACTGTTAGTCACACAATTACATTTACAGAACTAACTTTAAACAAAAGACCGGCATTTATTTACTATGGATTACTCTCTGTTTTCCAGACATTGACGAGTGCAGTTTGCAGACACACACCTGCTGGAATGACAGTGTGTGTGTGAACCTCCCAGGAGGCTATGACTGTGTGTGCACATCTGGTCCAGGCTGCAGTGGTGACTGCCCACAGGAAGAAGGAATGAGACGCAATGGAGAAGATTGGAAACCCAGCTTTGATCGCTGTGCTGTATGCTCCTGCAAGGTATAGAACATGATCACGTGCATACACATTTATTGCAATAAGCAATACTGTTGTTAACAGTGGAATTTTTTTTTGAACTTCAACCAGGACCTGAAAGTGATCCATAATCTTGTCTCTGACCTCCCATGAATGAGTTTTTATTATGACCAGGTGTATTATGGGTGGATCATAGCTTTTTGGTCATCCAAGGACAGTAAAAAAATAAAATAAAACCATGTGAGCACCAGTCAATAGTTTGACATTCAACTCAATGCAGTTCAATTTTTATTTATACAGTGCCAAATCCTTACACCTCAAGGAGCTTTATATTGGAAGGTAAAAACCCTATAATAATAGAGAAATGACTCCCAGACTAGATTGATTTTAAATTTGATTCTTGATTTAATAGGTAGCTGATGAAGAGAGGCTAATATGGGAGAAATATGCTCTCTCTTTCTAGTCCGTGTCAGTACTCTCACTGCTGCAATTTGGAACTGAATGCTTTATAGGACACTTTAAAGACAACAACAACAACAACAACAACAACAACAACAACAACAACAACAACAACAACAACAACAACAACAACAACAATAATAATGAATTACAGCAGTTCAGCCTAGATGTGATAAATGCATGAACTAGTTTTCAGCATCACTCTGAGACAGGATGTTTCTAATTTTTTATGTTTTTATGTATATAAGACATTCCTTCTGTTTAGCTAATTGGTGTGTGTCATCTGGATTCATGGATAGATAAAGCTGGGTATCATCTGCATGCCAGTGAAAATGTATGCTGTGCCTTTCAGTAATACTGCCTAAGGAAAACATGTATAATGTAAATATTATTGGTCCCACAATTAGTAATTGTGGAATTCCACAATTACTAATCGAATAATACAAAATTACACTTATCATCAGATACTTATCAAATCATTGACATGACAGTCATTTTCCATGAAATTTCATCAATTTAATAAATTGTAATTCTATAAAATACATTTGATATTCCAGAAAATACAGGAGCACTGGAAATGCAGCTGGCTTTATAAACCTGGAAGCAATACAATACTGAAAATACAGTCACAACATGAGTAACATGTGTACTGTCTGTTCAGTGAACTCGAACAGTAAACGCTGAAAGTGGAGTTGGGTTAGTAGGGAACGCAGAAAAATCTCCTCTTCCATTAGTTTAACCTCTTTCTTAATTTCAGTGAATTAGTTTTGCAATTTTTGCTGGCCTGATCCTATCGCACAGTTTCCTGTGCTTCCATTGTTTTTACTATGGATATTTCTACCACAACTGTGCTCCTCACAGCTAAACTTTTTCAGCTTCTCTCTCTCACTCTTTACAACAATGCAGCTGGAGATCCATAATCTTGTCTCTGACCTCCTGGAGAAATTTTACTGTATCTGAGGTTCAATGAATGATAAAAACTTTGCCAGCAGAGGCCAGACAGATCAATAACAGAGGCTTGCAATATCAGGATCAAGTCTGTTACTGTTACTCATCTGGATCTATAAACAAGGTTCATTATTTTACAACAGTAGGCAAGGCATATATTAATTATATCTCTATGCTTAATTCCTCTATTCCACACTATAACCTGCTCTGTTTAACAGCATGCAGAGCAGTAGTTTGACAGCAGCAGTCTGTGTTTTATAGGCTCGTAGGACAGGAAGTAGCCAGGAGTTCCTGTGCCAAAGTTGCATCCTGCTGATTCCAGCAGTAATCATTCACTGTCTGAAAGAACCTTTATTTGTAACAAAACAACAATATACTTAAGTAAAAGCTGAGATCTGGGAACAAAGCTACATTGTTACCGGCAGTTTTATATGATTCCAATGGAGTTGTTTAGAGGATTTCGACAAAGATTAGCAAAGCTGTAAAGGTGGAGATATCAGCAATAAACTTAGTGGCTACAGTGTTATAACAACTGATAAGAAGGATGGGCAAAACTATAAAAATAAGACTTAAAAATTCTCTTTAACATCCACACATTGTGCCTTCTACACATCTAAAAAACCTTTTAGTAGTAGTATTTAGCACACATAGCAATTACAGTGGGGCAAAAAAGTATTTAGTCAGCCACCGATTGTGCAAGTTCCCCCACCTAAAATGATGACAGAGGTCAGTAATTTGCACCAGAGGTACACTTCAACTGTGAGAGACAGAATGTAAAAAAAAAATCCATGAATCCACATGGTAGGATTTGTAAAGAATTTATTAGTAAATCAGGGTGGAAAATAAGTATTTGGTCAATAACAAAAATACAACTCAATACTTTGTAACATAACCTTTGTTGGCAATAACAGAGGTCAAACGTTTACTATAGGTCTTTACCAGGTTTGCACACACAGTAGCTGGTATTTTGGCCCATTCCTCCATGCAGATCTTCTCGAGAGCAGTGATGTTTTGGGGCTGTCGCCGAGCAACACGGACTTTCAACTCCCGCCACAGATTTTCTATGGGGTTGAGGTCTGGAGACTGGCTAGGCCACTCCAGGACTTTCAAATGCTTCTTACGGAGCCACTCCTTTGTTGCCCGGGCGGTGTGTTTTGGATCATTGTCATGTTGGAAGACCCAGCCTTGTTTCATCTTCAAAGTTCTCACTGATGGAAGGAGGTTTTGGCTCAAAATCTCACGATACATGGCCCCATTCATTCTGTCCTTAACACGGATCAGTCATCCTGTCCCCTTGGCAGGAAAACAGCCCCATAGCATGATGTTTCCACCCCCATGCTTCACAGTAGGTATGGTGTTCTTGGGATGCAACTCAGTATTCTTCTTCCTCCAAACACGACGAGTTGAGTTTATACCAAAAAGTTCTACTTTGGTTTCATCTGACCACATGACATTCTCCCAATCCTCTGCTGTATCATCCATGTGCTCTCTGGCAAACTTCAGACGGGCCTGGACATGCACTGGCTTCAGCAGCGGAACACGTCTGGTACTGCGGGATTTGATTCCCTGCCGTTGTAGTGTGTTACTGATGGTTACCTTTGTTACTTTGGTCCCAGCTTTCTGCAGGTCATTCACCAGGTGTGGTTCTGGGATCTTTGCTCACCGTTCTCATGATCATTTTGACCCCACGGGATGAGATCTTGCGTGGAGCCCCATATCGAGGGAGATTATCAGTGGTCTTGTATGTCTTCCATTTTCTGATGATTGCTCCCACAGTTGATTTTTTCACACCAAGCCGCTTGCCTATTGTAGATTCACTCTTCCCAGTCTGGTGCAGGTCTACAATACTTTTCCTGGTGTCCTTCGAAAGCTCTTTGGTCTTGGCCATGGCGGCGTTTGGAGTCTGACTGTTTGAGGCTGTGGACAGGTGTCTTTTATACAGATGATGAGTTCAAACAGGTGCCATTCATACAGGTAACAAGTGGGGGACAGAAAAGCTTCTTACAGAAGACGTTACAGGTCTGTGAGAGCCAGAGATTTTCCTTGTTTGAGGTGACCAAATACTTATTTTCCACCCTGATTTACGAATAAATTCTTTACAAATCCTACCATGTGAATTCATGGATTTTTTTTTCACATTCTGTCTCTCACAGTTGAAGTGTACCTCTGGTGCAAATTACTGACCTCTGTCATCATTTTAAGTGGGGGAACTTGCACAATCGGTGGCTGACTAAATACTTTTTTGCCCCACTGTAAGTGTGTAGATTAATTTGGCTAATGTATGCCAAGTTATGACACAAACACAAAGTATGAAACATTTCTGATCGTTCATACAAAAAAATCCCCACGCTCTTCTCCCATCTGTTTATGATTAGCCTGCATTACAGTGTGACAAATATTTTTGGCATCTTAATGACTCTTTTATGTGCTCGGGAGCCAGAATGAGATGGTGCACTGTTGCAGCAGGAAAGTGGGATATTGATCAGGTGTTTCTTTTTGAAGATAGCATCGGAGTGTGAGATTAATCTAAATCAGACAGAGAGTTATTTGGCCTGAAATACCAGCTAAGAGCAGTTGTTTCAACGATGCTTTATCGGCTTATGTATTTTAAAGTTTGCCACTAGGATATCAAATTTCTGCCCTGTTAAAAACTTTGGGTAAACTTTCTCTGGTACTTATAAGTTATGATGTTTCATTACGTTTCAAACTAGCGTCAAGTTGGAAATTAGTTAAATGTTTGAGATAATGCAGCCAGTGTTGGAATTAATGCATTACAAGGTATTACGTTACTGTAATCACATTATAATTTGCATTGCAAGGGTTCTTCAGTTATGTGCACACGTAGGGGATAGAAAGAAAATTAAATATCAGGCAAATATGTTTTTTTTTCCTTCTGTTGCAATCAACTGATTTCAGTTCGTGTTTGGAGGAAGAAAATGGTGGAGTGGGCCATGGGATTGCCAGCTTTTCAGCTTCCAGTTTTACAACGTTATTTAACGTTGTAAAAGTCCCGCGGCATGGAGCTATTTAGCTCCATGCCACGGGACTGTGTGCCAAGGTTCTCACAATCGGCCCCTTGTGTTGCAGAATTCCAACCAGAGGGGCCAAAGAAAATGTTATCATCCTTGTCCGAAATGAGATGTTCTGATGCTCCCTCAGAGAATTCACGGTGTGGCTCATTGTTAGCCTTGGGGGAAAAGGACAACATAGCTTTCGCAGCTGACCTCGGCATTGTCCACCAGCAGGAGGACAATGTCCTGGTGCCTTGCGTGGCCGACTCAATGTGCTCCATTGGTGCAACGACTGGAGACAGCATTGAGTTCTTCTTCGACAGGCTAGCCTGGTGGGCTAGCCTTTGACAAAGGCTTTTCAGGGTAAAGCGAGCGCAGTGTTCGCATGAACCCGGTTTGGAAACAGCCGCTTAGGCGTGTTGCACATCACACAAGCGTCATGTGTATCTGAACCTGAGATTTTCCTACCGCAGGGGTGGAATTCTGGGCAGCTGGGCAGCAGTCTGCCATGTTAGGGAAGCTTGGTATAGCTGGCTTGGAATGGCGAGACAGCTAACGAATGTTTAAAAGAGAACTACCTGATTAATGCTAACACAACTGCAGGTC